TGCTGTGCAGACCAGAAGCAGCTGCAAATTCTCCCTAAACCCTGGCCCTGCCCAGCACTTGAAAAATGCTGCTTTGGCCACAAAGGAATAGATTAACTCAGCACCACTCAGGGGAAAAGCAACTCAAAAGACATTTTTTTTTAAATCATAGTGGCTTGGAGTATCATACTTTCACACTGTTTGTTGCATGTTCCTACCTTTACACAGATTGTCTAGTTAATAGCAACTAGGACGTTGACAAATGTGCCTCCTTTAAAACAAAGCCCAGATTTAAAAAACTTAGTAATCAGTAATTTTTTTCTTATAGAAAACATTTAAAGAAGCTATTTTTTAAAATATTTTATTTATTTATTTATTTGAGAGAGAGAATGAGACAGAACATGAGAGGGGGGAGGGTCAGAGGGAGAAGCAGACTCCCCGCTGAGCAGGGAGCCCGACGTGGGACTCGATCCCGGGACTCCAGGATCATGACCTGAGCAGAAGGCAGTCGCTTAACCAACTGAGCCACCCAGGCGCCCTTAAAGAAGCTATTGAATGAATACCCAGTGAGCATTGAGTTAAACAGCATTTACATAGGCTTTCCACCCAAAGCCATTTTTGGTGTCTCCTCTTTGGGGGACAGATAATTAGAACTAATTGCTGTCTTTGTTTCCTGTTTGGGGGACAGATAATTGGAACTAATTATTATTTTGCATCCCTTCACTTTTCCCATCCAACCAGTAAGTCCAGTTGATGCTACCTTCTCAGTATTTTCCATGTCTGTTCGCTTCTCTCCACCACCACTGTCAGTGTCCCAGTTCAGGTCACAACTTTCCAGAATTTATCTAAACTATCTCCTCAGTGATTCTTCACTTGACAAAATGACCTTTCATTTTAGAAGAGTCTTTAATAAGAATGATAAAATACTGAAAATAACGAGTACCAACTCATTTAGTGCATATTGTACACCTGTCACTATGCTAAGCACCTTACATGCTTTAGTTCATTCAATCCTTAGTACAATCCTACAAGGCAGTTTTAATTTCTTTCGCCATCTATCAGGGAGAAAACTAAACCCTAGAGAAGTTAAACACCTTGTCTAAAGCCACTTGGCAAGTGGTAGATCCCAGATATGAACTCTGTCTCTAAAACTTATGCTCTTAACCACCATGCACACACTGCCATGTTTGCTGAATTTTCCTTTAAATAGTAAAGCTCCCTTGCAGTATTAAACCATGTTATATTACCCAGCATGATGCTAGCATATAAGAATTCAAAAAGTTTTTTTTTTTTTAATGGATAGATTCAGGAATACTTATGTAGATGACAAGAAGCTGAAGTATTATAATATTTCACTTATCCCACATCATTATGAAAATTTTTTAGATAAATCAGTTTTCTAGATAACAAATTAAACCATTTAAGGATATAATTATGTTTATTTTGATAAAATCTCTCTGAAATGTATTTTTCTTTATTGCCTTAGTAGTACAATTCTATTACCCTAATAACAAAAAACTATTGTTATGAGCAACAAATGTTGTATACACTATTTAGTATTTCTTTCACCCTCTGAGCCCCCAAGTGCCCCCAAGAATTGTTTTTAAGACTTTATTTATTTATTTGACAGAGAGAGACAGCAAGAGAGGGAACACAAGCAGGGGGAGTGGGAGAGGGAGAAGCAGGCTTCCCGCGGAGCAGGGAGCCCGATGCGGGGCTCCACCCCAGGACCCTGGGATCTTGACCTGAGCCGAAGGCAGACACAATGACTGAGCCACCCAGGCGCCCCTGGATTGTGATTTTAATTACCATCAATATGCTGAGGAAGCCCAGATCTTTGTCTCCAACCGGATTTCTCTCCTGACTTTCAGATCCATGTATATCCACACTACCACTTGACCTTGCAAGTTCAGAATGCCCCAAAGACCTCCAAATACACCTAGACCCTTAGATCTGCATCTCCAGAATTCCATTTCTTAGTGGAAGATTCTACTGTCTAGCCATAGGGATAGGCATAATGTTTGACGACTCCTTTTCCTCCACTAATGTTCCCTAATCAGTAAATTAACAAAAGTCCACTTGATTTTACCTTCTAAGTATCTCTCAAATCCATCACACTTCTTTCTCTGTCCATCGCCCTCTCCAGCCACTAGTATCTCTGCCTGGATTGTTGTAACAATCTAAATGGTGCCCCTACGTACAATTCTAACACAATCTAACTTATTCTTCATACCACAATCAGAGTATATTTTTAAAACTAGAAGTCTGGTCATGTCACATCTCAGTTTGAAAACTTTCAGTAGTTCCCCATTGCTCAGGGTATGAGGTTCAGATGTCTTCAATATTGCTTACAAAGCCTTCTGAGACTTCTTGCCTTTCCATATCTTGCCATCCCTTTTTACCTGTCCCTCTCACCGAACACAACTAGGTCATAGAGAACATTTCCCCTCTACACGCTGTATATTCTCTTCCTTCTAGGATTTTGCATGTGCTGTCTGGGGAACCCCTGACCCCTACATCTAAAGTATGCATCTCTCATGCTCACAATCACAGCGGCTGTTTCCACTTGTAATATTGTGGTTAAGTACCCATTTGTTTCTATCATCTTCTCTTCTCTCTCCCTCAAGGGGATGGACGGAACCGATGCCCGCTTGTTCAACCTGTATCCCTAGCACCTAACTCTGTGTCTAGAGCAGAGTAGGCCCTAACATTTCTTTTAAATTTTAGTATAGTTTTAGATTTAGAGAAAAGTTACAAAGACAACACAAAGAGTTACCTTACACTGGAACCCAGTTTTCCCTATTGTTAACATCTTACATTAATGTGATACATTTGTCACAACTAATGGACCAATGTTAATACCTAATTATTAACTAAAGCCATGCTATTCAGATTTCCTTAGTTTTTTTTTTAAGTTTACTTATTTTTTAGTAATCTCTACACCCAATGTGGGGTGACATAACTCATAATCTCCAAGATCAAGCATCACATGCTCCTCCAACTTAGCCAGCCAGGTGCCCCCAGATTTCCTTAGTTTCTAACCTAATGTCCTTTTTCTGTTTCAAGATCCCATCCAGGATACCACATTCTATTTAGTATCCATGTCTCCTTAGGTACCTCTTGGCCTTGACAGTTTCTCAGACTTCCCTTCTTTTTGATGATCTTGAGAGTTATAAGGAGTACTGATTGGGTATTTTGTGGAGTATCTGTCAATAAGAATTTATCTGATGTTTTTCTCATGATTAGACCAGGTTATGAGTTTGGAGGAGGAAGACCGCAGAGGTTAAGTACCATTTAGATCACCTCATATCAAGGGTACAGAGTGTCAACATGACTTACCACTGTGATGTTAACTTGATCACCTAGCTGAGGTAGTATTTGCCAGGTTTCTGTAGTGCAGGGTTACTAATTTCCCCCCTTTCCATTTTGTACTCAGGAGGTCACTACACTATGTCCAGTCTACATTCAAGGGGTTAGGAGTTAGGCTCCACCTCCTTGAGGGCAGAGTATCCACATAAATTATTTGGAATTCATTTGTACTAGAGACTTATATATTCTTTCTTTATTTATTTGTATCAGTATGCAATCATGGATATTTATTTTCTACTTTGGGCAATAATCCAATACTACTTTATTTATTTTGTTACTTAAATAGTTCCAGTTTTGTCCTTTGGGAACTTTTTCTGTTGGCTCCTGTGTTTATTTGACATATCCTTGATTGTCTCTCTTTCAAGCACTCCCTTACTTTCTGGCACAAGACATTTCAGGTTCACCTTGTGTAGTCCCTGCCCCTGCCCTAGAATCAGCTATTTCTCCAAGGAGTCCTGGTTCCCTTAATTGTAAACTGTGTTCAAAACCACGATCTGGGCTCTGGGTAGGTATAACACTTTTTAATACAAAACCGGATTCATTTTTAAAAGCCACAAAAGCACAAATACTAATGTATCTTCCTACCACCCAAAATAAGCAGGTGTTTTTTTCCCTTTGTTTTGCTTCAGATATATGTTAAGAAATAAAACAAGAAATCGAAGGCCAGTTTTCCCCAGTGGCCTTTTCCCCAGTCCTAACCCCTTCCCTCGCCTCCCAGAAGCAACCACAATCTTAAGTTGAGGTGTAGATCTCTTTTTCAAGCATTCATGGAACAGTTACAGAAGCATATGTATTAAAGGAAAAACCTGGCTTTTATTTGGGCTGAGCTGCCCACCTTCCTGGGCTGTTCTGGTTGGTAGTGGTGTCTGTGCCCCGAGCCACGTGTCTGCACCCTCAGCTGTCGCCTCGCTCCTACACACTAGGGCTCCGTTCGTCTCTTCTCTCAGCACCTCCAGCCACTCTCTCTTCTCTGGTCTGTACCTTTCTATCTCGCCCCAACTTGCTGCTTTGTAGGCAGCTTCTGGCAACCTCCCTGCCAGGAGGAAGAAGACCAATAGCCCGTAGACTTTGCGGAAGCAAACTATAAACTGGAAAGTGCTAGGCAAATGGAAAATTTTACTGTTTTGTTCAAAGTGCCAAAAGGGGAGGGGGTGGGGGCATAACATTCATTTGTTTGAAGTACTTGGCTCTTTAACATCTAATTTTTAGCTTAAAGACATTACCAGTTGCTTCTAGTTACTTTTGAGTTGTACTTCTGGAAAGTTGAGGCTACCACATTTAAGGCCACCAGATATCTAGAAATTAGGATAGTTAATTTCATGATTCTTCATTTCTATTTTTCTTACAAATACTGTTCTTCAAAATAAAGGAATAATACCCAAAACAGAGAAAACCCTTACTATTGAAGAGGTTGCTTATGAAACGAATTCCTTCTCCAGCAAGGGATTTACAATGAAAGACTAATTATGTAATTATAAAGTGAAAGCCTTTGGCTATAATCTCCATCCACCGAATTGCAATGCTATGTGAGCAGTTTAGTTGATCATGTTCTGGGTGCATAGCACATTATCTGCTTATTAAGGTAAGCAGTAATCTTGGGTTTGGGATTTCTAGCCCCATTAATAGTAAATATATTAAATTTCTTCCCACAGCTTACACTTACTCTGACAAAGGCAAGTTTGGAAGCAATTACTTGGAGACAGTTTGGATAACACCTAGATAATCAAAACGGGCACAATGAAGCACTTCCTGAGGTAAGTATTTTTGGCCTGCTTGAGCCCTCTAAAATGGAGAAACTTCCTTCCGAATTAGGAAAATAGTTCTCTGTTCACCATTTGTAATCCTATAACCAGATCTCTTAGGATTGCATAAAATAGCATTGTATTTTAGCTAAGAATAATTTGGTCACAGGTTTCCTCTGCTGCCCTATCTGAATACTGATGCTAAGAGAGCACTTACCAGTAGGAGATTACAAGAGATTATAAGAGAGCACAAGCACAAAAGCACAGGGCAGGTGTACTTTGGACAACCTGGATGCCATGTGTCTCTAAAGCCTTAAGGTCGAGGTTTGAGGAATCAGTAAGTAGTTAAGGAATCAGTATAATTTGTGTGCAATCATTTTCCTGAAAAAAGTAATTTTAAATATTCCTTAATTTAGATTTTGGTTAGCTGGCCATTCATACAGGCATTTTCAAACATTCCTTTTTGGTAAAAAAAAAAAATATATATATATATATATATGCATATAAAACATATATATATATATAAATATATATAATATATGCATTCTAAGCTTTTGCTGTTCCTGCCTCCTTGATCCTCTGAACTCTGCATTGTTGCTTCCCTCAAGGTTGTGCTGTATAGAGTAACATATATGCTGGTGTGTTCTGTAGTGATATTGTATTGTTCTGAAAGCCATTTGGCTGGACCTATAATTGTAATTATTTTTAAGAGTATTTAACAGCCATTCACAATCCATTAATGAAATTCCCAGAGAAATTTTACATCATATTAAAGTACAACAAATAGAGTTATTCTGGTCCCGAAAGTTAGAAAATAATACCTACTTTCCAGAATATTAAGTTTCTTTTCCTCAAGATAGCCTACCTCTATTACACATTCCTGCGCCTTGCTCTGGCTGTTTTCTCTAAGCAAATAATTAGTGGGCTCACTTCTTTTAGGAAATGATTTCATTCTTCCATTTAAGATTTTCTTTCCCTCACTGATTTTGATTGCATCACTGTGTCCGGAACACCTAGATCAGTTTGTGTGGGATTCACTGTGTTTTGGTGGGGCTACTGGTCTTAGAATTACGGAAACCTCTCAGGAGGTCACTGTTAAACAGCTTATAGGCATTAGCTTTGGTTTTATTGTACAGAATGCTCCTCAGCCTGTTTATCTCAGCTGCATAAAAGGGTAGTATTTGAAAAATCACTAGGACATATGCCAGCAAAGTACTGACCTGACATGATTTTGGCTGCCATGGTACTTAACCCATCTACTTACACATTCATGAAAAATTGGTATTTATGAATCCCTCCTGAATGTAAACATGGCGTCTTTTAGTTGCAGAAGGTTTTAGTGTTAGATGAAGCTTAGGGGTCAGGAACTCCTTTTGAAAAGGGGGAGATGGTAGTGGTGAAGTCTGGGGCAAGATTCGTCTACTGGATTTCTTCTTCAGAGTCCTCATTTAGAAAAACTTGAGCAGCCTTACAACCAGCCATTTTAGGAGAAATAGTAGCATTTGTTTCTGTTAGTCTTCTGTTAAGCTGAATAGCTACAACACTGTGTCTAGTAGAGACGAGAACATTTTTGTAATTAATTTGTATTTGGAACTGAGAACTAGTCTGGTAAAAACCTGCTGTGACTTCACAGCAGGCTAGCACCAAGAAGAACAGAACCAGCACATCCCCAATCAGTTCCATGTTCTGATACAAATCCTTCTCTTTCAACTCGAGACATGTTTTATAAATACTACTTGACACTGATCATTTATACGAAACGGAAGCCAGGGTAACAGATTACATATCAAGAAAGAAACTTGAGGATTTTCATTGACCATTGGTTTTGAAATAATAAAAGGAAATTCAATCACTGCCCCAAGCTGACTATTGCTTTGGCCTTAGTTTGTGTTTTTAATGCTCTTTTATTAAGTTATAATGTGTGTGTATTCATTATATGTTGGTGTTTTTAATGCTTTTTATTAAGTAATAACGTACATATTCACTATATGTTGGTGTTTATGGAATCAGAAGGGTAAGAGGGCAAGGAGAATTGCCCTGAATTACAAGCTCTATCGGGTCATTTAAGATTGCCTTTTTTCCCCTGTAGTCCCTTTGCACAGATGTGGGACAATTTCGGCAATCTTTTCATTTGAACCAAAGAGGAGGCTATGTAAACACAGCCTGAACAAATTAGGTGTTTATTCCTGAGCTCAGCAAATACATTATGCAGAATAAGGAGTTGATTCTGAGAATTCAGTATTATTTAAAAGCCCACAGAGTGGTTAAAATCAGTCAGCCTCTGAGTTGCTCTAGAATGAAATGCTTCATGTATAGCTCCAGAAGAAATGAGGTTAATCTTAAACCAAGTTGGGGTAAAGAATGGATTTTAATCCACAGTTAAGTGACATGATACCCACACTCTGCTCTTTCTAGCTCACTGCTGCCATCAGTGTAACTGTCACCAAGTGTATCAATGGTGTGACTGTTCAGAGCATAGCAGAGTGCAGAAAGTATTTGATTAAAAAAACATTACATGACATATTAGAAGTAATTGCCACAGGATTAGTACACCCAGCTGATGGGTATATTTGAAATTGAGAGTAGATATAGGATACTGGATAAGTAACCTGTAGTCATTCAGTGACTTTAGCCATGGTCTGCATTAAGGGAATACAAAGATAAAATGCAGAAGAAGTGAATTTATGTAGATGATCAGAAGAAGAGGGGGCACTTTTTGAGCCCCAAATAGAACTGAGGCTTAGGGTTTAGTTTATATATTTTATTAATTTTAATTAAGTTGATGTATATAATAGGGATGGCTTAAAACTTGTACTAAGATCTTTTCCCATGCTAGGATTTTTTATTGAAATTGTATGTTTTACAGTTATCAGAACATTATGAAATTTTCTAATAAAGGGAATCTTTTAAGTCACTCCATGTAAATAATTGCTTCCAACTGTCCTAGCCTCGGGATCTCACTTTCTTGGCCATGGACTTCACTGCGTACCTTTTTCCCTTAGGCAGAAGAGCGGGAAGGAAAGCATCTGTCACACTCACACCTCCTTGGGAGAAATTTTGAGAAATAGAACAAACTTATACCCAAGTGCTGGCTATAAAGCAGTGAAGGTGGTGGGGGGGGGGAGTATTTTACTGCTATCATTAGGTAAATAAAGGCTTCCAACTAACAAAAATATCTGTAAATTGGTTTTTTAAATCATTCACACTTGATTAATATCTCGGTCCACTGATTCATTTAGTAGGCACTTACTGCTAATAATTCTAGTAGTATCCCACATTTTTAATTTTTATTTTCTCTTTATAACAATTGTAACAAAGGGATTACTATCCCTTTATACAGAGCAAGGCAAGAAGGCTTAGCAAAGTTAAATAACTCATCCAGGGGCACACAGATATTTGAAGGCAGGCCCGTCTGCCTTTAGAGATGTTTCTCATCATTTTTGCAGCATGTTACCTCCTCACTCTGTGCCTGTTGTGAGGTGTTGTAGGTGACACAAAAGCGAATATGTGGGGACCTCTGCTCCAAACCTACCACTTGCTACAGAGATGAGGCACACACATATAAAACTCTGATATAAGTAGCAATGTGCTCTCCGATGTGCCACAGGCATTTTGTGGCAGGAATTTTCAGGGAAGGCTTCACTGAGGGGAGGCTGAGGGAAAGGAAGGACTGGAAGTCAGTATTTTTAATTAAGGACAGAGAGTGTGGGAGGTGGAGAAGATGCTGGGAAGGAAAAAGGGCTGAGAAAGTGTGACCAGCTGCCACAAGCAGCAAGTGGTCCAGGTATATTGGCTGTAGACCCTTTTTAGGGTGAGTAGGAGAGAAGTGGCAAAGATAAACTTGGGGCAGTTCTCGGAGACCTTTGCAGGCCGGGCATAACACAGCCCAGGAGCATGGTAACCCTTTCAGCCAGATCTACAGTGGGACTTGAAGAGAAGGGAGAGTCCGATGAAAACTCTTTTTGCCTTGTGACACATGTCTAGCCTTCTCTCAGAGCCAGAAAACTAGTCCATTACCTTCACCTGAAGAGTGAGAGGGCAGAGACCCAAAGAAGCCAAGTATCTTGTCCGAAGTCATAGTTCATAGTGGCAAATCGAGGCCAGAATGGAAGTCAGGCTTCCAGACACTTCCCTACTTAATCAAGCGGTATTTCCACTCAGCACCAACCCATTTCCACTACTTTTAAAGGGCAGAAGGTGTGTAGAGTCATGCATGTAGTTGTTCCAGAATTTGGTTAACATTGCTTGAAACGATGACTGAGCTTAGGAAAAACAGAGGCGGAATCCTGAAAAGGGGAAGGTTTATGGCCTGAGCATCCAAATACCTTTCTCACTGGAGACCGGTACTTTTAGCCATAGTTTTCTCTTTCTTAGGACACAAACACGCACACATGCACGTTGATCATATATGTATATACATGCGTGTGCACACACACACATGAACACATGTATGTATATCTACACATACATATATTTTAAATTATTTTGTTCCCTGCGTTCAAATAAAACAACAAAAAACTGTTTCCATATCCTTGTTGAAATATGTTAACCTGAAAAGTTTTCTAGGCAGTTTCCTATGGGTGGCCTCACCATCTAGCTGTGTTAGAGCTCCTCTGTTGGCAGCCCTCTCTCCTGCCCCTTTGCTTTCCCTCAGCTTTTCAAGACTGACTCTTGGCCACTTCACTGTTGGGGAAGCTCTTCCTCCAGAGCACGAGCAAGATAAATAAAAGCCAGGGACACTCAATAAGTGTTGGTTTGCATTTCATTCATTGAACTATTGAATGTTTCACTTTTGTCCTGAAGGGAGGAAGCCATGCTGATTTTCCATGTTGTTTCTGCCTCCTTGTCGGGAGAATCAGGTCGCCAAGAGCTGGCTTTCCTGTCCGATCTCAGAGGAAGGTACTTTCTCTCCTCTGCCTCTCTAACACTCTGGGCCATTTCTTTTATAGAATTATCACACTGTTTGTTTTTTACTGTCATTTTCTTTGCTAGACTAGAAGTTCCTTGTGGATAAGGGATGGGCATGGGATTTGCAGTGACATTAAGTTCTTGACTCCTATCCACCTCTTCCCTCTGCCATATCCCCACCCCCTGTTCTGTACTACACAATTTCTCATTTTGTATTTGTTCAGTTCCGTGAAGGAACTTTCAATGATCATTTTTCATTTTTCTCCCCAAGTCATCTCAAATCTCTTTCCTTCAGCTACTCCAGGTCTTTAACTCAACAGAAATTAATGTATTCATAATACTGAGAACATCCTCTATGTAGTGAATCTCTAAGAGTAACAGGCCAACTCCTTATCCCCTCTAGAAGATTCTGAGGCCTATTATGGATGATGACTTTTTTTAATTTTTATTTTATATTATTTTATTTTATATTTATTTATTTTTTATATTATTATATTTTAAAAAATATTTTTATTTATAATAAAACTTTATATTTGAGATTATGTTTAAATACTTTTTTAGTTATTTTTTTATTTTTTATTTTTATTTTTCACTTTTATTTTATTATGTTATGTTAGTCACCATACATCACCAGTTTTTGATGCAGTAATCCACGATTCATTGTTTTTGTACAACACCCAGTGCTCCATGCAGTACACACCCTCCTTAATACCCATCACTGGGCTAACCCATCCCCCCACCCTCCCCAAAACCCTCAGTTTGTTTCCTCAGAGTCCATAGTCTCTCATGGTTCATCTCTCCTTCCAATTCCCCTGCCGCCTTCATTTTTCCCTTCCTTCTCCTAATGTCCCCCCTGCTATTCCTTATGTTCCACAAATAAGTGAAACCATATGATAATCTGGTGACTTATTTCACTTAGCATAATCTCCTCCAGTCCCATCCATGTTGATGTAAAAGTTGGGTATTCATCCTTTCTGATGGCTGAGTAATATTCCATTG